CACCAGCACCAACCAGGTAGCCCTGTTCACTGTGGCCTCGATACTTACTGGTCCTCTCTTCCTGATTATCCTGTCATATGCACACATCATCTCCACCATCCTTAGGGTCCCATCTGCCTCTGGCAGGCAAAAGGCCTTTTCCACCTGTGGGTCCCACCTCACTGTGGTCTTCTTGTTCTATGGCACAGCAGTCGGTGTCTACCTGTGTCCTTATTCATCACACTCAGGGGTTAAGGACAGGGTTGCAGCTATATTTTATACAGTGGTGACTCCCATTCTGAACCCCTTCATTTACAGCCTCAGGAACAATGACATGAAGACTGCAATGAGAAGGCTTTTTGGAATTCACAACTCTTTTCCAAGGGACTCTAATATTGCGTCCATATTTTGAAATTACACTCTGGAGAAACCCTGGGCTTATGAAGAAATATGATCCCCTATCACATTTGCTTAGCTTTTAGACAAAAGTGATCTAGAAATCATTCTCTGAAGCCCCCAAATCCTACAGTGTATATAATCAGTGTATTTCATAAAGGACATGTGCATTCATAAATGTTGTCAGTATTTCCTTGTTGTATGGTGATCTCAGCTAAACCGGGGTAAGACCAATTAAAACTTCATTTGTTTACTGTTGTTCTAATGAAAATGTGAATTTTTTAACGTTCAAATCAACCAGAATTTATTAATCTCTCCCATTTGCTGGATACTGTGTCAGGTAGAGGAGATACTGATTCCCTGCCTTTGCGGAATCCACCTTCCCATGTGCTATGTAGTTGCACATATAGTTGCAATTAGCTGCAATATAGGTCCAATCATGATGATTTCTCCATAAAGCTTAATATTTACTTTGTTCCACTTTCTTATCCCTTTAAGTGTATTATGCCATTTAGTTCCCCAATTATAACCATCTCAGATATGGTACTATGATTATCACATTTTACAGATGGGGAAACTATCGCTGGTAAGTGGGGAAGGGAAGGTCCTAGGGAAGAGAGCCCCCAGTCAACTTTTTAGGGATTCTCTTGTCCCCCTCACTGGTGTATTCTTTATTGCTTTAGTGAAGGGAGTGTCTTCTGTCCCTTCTTGGGGAACAAAGTGGTGGGTGGGTTCTTTGCTCTCCTATAATAAATGCAATCTCAGGTACATGGCCATGTACCTGAGATTCTGACCTCTTCTTCAATACTTTGCCAAGGTGTTCTAGCATCTGCATTTCATTTTTTGTAGGCTACCATCATTTCCAAGCCTATCAATGACCTCAGCTGTGTAAGAGAGCTTGTTCTAGGTGTTCCTCTCTCCTGAGTCATATGAGAAGGCTCCCACATCAAACAAATTTACCCTATCCAGCCTTATGTTCCATAACTTCCTTGTCCAGTTCCCTGAGGACCCACCTCCACTTGTACTCCTCCAGTTTTTAGTGGATACCTTAGCCAAATCCTGCTCCCCCTTTTGATAAATCACATAAATATTACTGTAGCCAGGATTGTAATCCCCTGTTGGGACTATGTTGAAATCTGTTTCAAGTTATGAGTCTAGAGAAAAATGAAAGAGGCAGGTATTTTAAGAAGGCAAATATCACCTTGCACATCACCCACCTCAGAGGAAGACTTTATCGATTATGAAATGCTACGTAACAAACAACTCCAAACTTAGTGTTTAGAAAACAGCCATTTACTTAGTTTCTTTTTCTTGCTGGGTAATTCTCTTAGTGGTTTTGGGTAGGCTCCCTGATGTGTTTTCAGTTGGCAGCCCATCAACTGGGTGACACTGCTTCTGGAGACTGGCTGCTTTTTAACTGAAACAATGGGAGGCATACAGGATCATGTGCCTTTCATCGTAGGACAGGAGGCTGAGCCGTGTTCACAGGTTGCCACTGTTCCAAGAACGGCAAGAAATCAAGCACTTTTCAAACCCTTGCTTGTGTGAAATTTGCTATTGCCTTGTTGGCAAAAGCAAGATTTAAGGCCAGTCCATATTCTAGGGGTGCAAATTTCACCTCTTGGGAGGAGAGACCAAGTCTCATCTCAAGGATGCAGGATCAGAGAGAGAAAGAAGTTGTAGCCAATCGCTAAATCTGCCACAAAACCTTTTCATGGTAATCAGGCAGTGGGACCTTGCTTTTGTCTGCCAAGGGAAAGTGGAATGCTTCCCCTGTCTGTGAGACTTAAAGGATTCCGAGCATTCAAAGAACTCCATCCAAATGTCCCAATGACAGTCTCACATTTCCACCCTTTCCCTATCAGAACCCTGAATAGGAGACTTAGGACTACACTCCCCAGACTCTTATGATCAAATTCTGAGCCTGATTTTCTTTAAAATGTTTTTTTCAATTACAGTTTACATTCAACACTATTCTGTATTAGTTTCAGGTGTCAGCATAGTAGTTAGACAATCATATACTTTACAAAGTATATGTTCCCACTGATATTTCCTGTACTTGCCTGACACCATAGTTATTACAATATTATTGACTGTATTCCCTAAGCTATAGTTTATATTCCCATGACTGTTTTGTAACTACCAGTTTGTACTTCTCAATCCCTTCACCTTTTTCACCCAGTCCCCTGACCCCATTCCCTTCTGGTGACCGTCAGTCTATATTCTGTATCTATGTGTCTGTTTCTGTTTTGTTTGCTTATTTATATTCTTTATATTCCACATATAAGTGAAATCATATGGTATTTGTCTTTCTCTGACTGACTTATTTCACTTAATACAGTACCCTCTAGGTCCATCCATGTTGTCACAAATGGTAAGATTTCATTCTTTCTTATGGTGGAGAAATATTCTAATGTACCACAGCTTTTTACCCACTCGTCTTGTATATTGTAAATAACTCTACAATGAACATAGGGGTGCATATATTTTTTCAAATTATTGTTTGTGTTTCTTGGGATATATACCCAGAAGTGGAATTGCTGGGTCATAAAGCAGTTCCATTTTTAATTTTTTTGAGGAACCTCCATACTGTTTCCATAGTGCTGAGCCTGACTCTCAGTATACATGCTGTGCTTTGGTTTGTTTCTTTAAATGCTTATATGGAGCCATTGAATTTCACAGCATGCCTTTAGTAGACAGCTGCTGAGCTGAGTCTCTCCTCATCTTTCTTCAGTATGTCTAGGAAAGGGAACAAAAGCACACTAAATTCACAATCCTTACCTAACCTTCATTTTTTTTAAAGTGCTGGAGTTATTGCATAATCCAGTGCTTTTCCTTTTGCTTCTGTCTGGTTCCCATCCACTATCATAGAGTCTTACTGATTGTGAAGCTACACACACTAGGTGTTAATATGGCTCCACTCATCACCACCACTGTGCATCTCACTGTTAAAATTTCCTTTAATTTTGTATAGTCCTTCTGTCTTTCATGACCTCAACACCTTTGAAGTCTCTCAACAGCCTTTGACGGTAATTACTATAGTTACTGTTGCTATTTGGAAACTGAGACTCAGGGATGCTGATAACCTGCTGAAGATCACTCAAGTGGTGAATGGTAGATCTAATACATGAATGCAGATATTTCTGACTCCAACTTAAGTCCTATTTTCATGTAAAGGAGCTACTTTAAAAGTCTGAGTTCATCATTTAGATCTTAGGAGAGTCACAGTTATACAAGGAAGAAGTCAACAAAGTGCAATGCAGTTTCTAAAATTTCTCCTTTGTGTTATTGAAAAATCCTCTGTGGGTTGTTAGGGTATATTCTTAGCAGCATCCCTAGGGGAGATGCAGTAATGAAATTGATACAGTATCTTTTTAAACAATTTTATTACATTTATTGGGGTGACATTGATTGATAAGGTTATAGGTTTCAAGAGTACAATTCTATAATATATCATCTATATTTTGCATTGTGTGTCCACCATCCAAAGTCAGGTCTTCTTCTGTCAACATATATTTGACTTGTCCCTTTATCTTTTAAAAATTTTTTTAAATTTACTGATTTGAAAGGGAGGGAGAGAGAGAGAAAGAGAAAGAGAGAGAGAGAAAAGCATCTATTTGTTGTTCCCCTTATTTATGCATTCATTGGTTGATTCCTGTTATATACCCCAAGCAGGACCAAACCCACAACCTTGGTGTATCGGGACAACACTCTGCCCTACTGAGTTACCCGGCCAGGGCTCCCTTTACCCTCTTTTACCTCCCCCACCCCCTTTCCCTCTGGTAACCACCATACTGTTGTGAATACAGTTATCTTTTAAAATAGATCTGAACATAGGCCCTGAGCATAGTACTGAAGAATGATGATTCAGTAAAATAAACTTTGTGAGAACCTCAAATAATGTGGTCCATGCACCCATCTTTCTGATCATGTGGCTCGATTCATAAGTCATTTCAGAATATCTGACTCGAGACTTACACTCAAGCAGGGGACATGCTCACTTGTAGAGGATACCAGAACCCCCGTGGCTGTTTACTCTTCCATCCTCTAGCTTCTCGTTTGTCCTGCCTCATCTTCAAATCATTTGCTAGTATTGGAAGCTGTTGATTGGAACTGTGTGTGTGAACAGGAGAGGGAAGCAAGAAGAGAGAAAACACATAATGGAGAGGAATATGTGGACTCATGCCCATTTAGGCATAGAGTAACCATTAGGTGTATGCATATTGGAATTAGATATCTGGCTTTACCTCTTATTAGCTGTGCAACTTCAGGCAAATAATTTAACCTTTTGAGCCTTTGTTTTCTCTTCTTACAATGCAAATATTTACCTCAAAGGCATGTGTCGAATATTGCTGAAGATAATGAAGATCTAAGCATAAGACCTGGAAGAAGTATATTTACATATTTATATAGCTATTTTTTCTTCTAACCCCCCCAGAAACACTGCATAATAGGGAAGATTATAGTACCACCTTTTATGAGTGAGGAAATTGTGGCTCAATGAGGTCATTTAATTTGCCCAGGATTGGAAAGCTAGCAAGTGGCAGGTACAGGATTTGGAAGTAGATACCAAGATAACTCTATAAGCTGATTTCCCCTGAATTCCCCAAAAGATGTCTTTGGCCTCATGGAGATTGCAGTGCCCTTGGGCTCAGGAGTCTCCCTAAGGCACTCTTCATGTCTCTGTTTCTCAGGCTGTAGATGAATGGGTTCAGCATGGGGGTCACCACAGCATACATCACAGCTGCAATCCTGTCCTTGCTGGCAGAATCACCAGTGGAGGGAATGAAGTACACCCCGATGGCAGACACATAGAACAGGCAAACTGCTGAGAGGTGGGAGCCGCAGGTGGAGAAGGCCTTCCACTTCCCACTTGCCGATGGAACTCTCACAATGGCAGCCACAATGCGGACATAGGAAATGATGATTAGCAAGGGGATCGAGATGGTTAATGCCCCTCCCCAGTACATCAGCACACATTGGTTGGCATAAGTATTGGAACAAGAGAGCTTTAATAGGGGGAGAAGTTCACAAAAGAAGTGAGGGATGATGTTGTCCATGCAGAAGGATAGTTGAGCCAGGAGAATGGTGTGGGTTAGAGAGTAAGAATGAGCAAGGACTAGGGACATGATCACCAGCAGGATACAGCACCTGGGACTCACGACCAAGGTGTAGCGAAGGGGGTGGCAGATAGCCACAAGTCAGTCATATGCCATCACCGCCAGGAGGAAAGCATCTAGACCAATGAACCACAGGAAGAAGTAGATCTGCGAGAGGCATGCAGCATGGGTGATGGTATGCCTGTGGGCCTGAATGTTCACCAGCATCCTAGGGACTGTGGTAGATGATAAACAAAGGTCAGTGAGGGAGAGGTTGGCCAGGAAGAAGTACATGGGGGTGTAAAGGTGTGGATCACATCCAATGGCCAGGATGATGACAACGTTCCCCACCAGGGTGACCAGGTACATACTCAGGAAGATGCCAAAGAGGAGAGACTGCTGTCCCTGCTGCTCAGACAGGCTCAGAAGGAAGAATTCAGAGACACCGAATGTATGGTTTCCTGGTTTCATGCCTCAGGTGTAACTAAGGAATAAAATGGAGGATGGCGCTTCAGAATCTTTTCTTGCCCTAATATTGTCATGATGAAAACAAAGGCATAATATAACAAAGAAATCAATAACTATGCATTATCTCACTGAAGCTTGACTCTGTAAGATAGTTGTTATTATGCTCATTTTATTGATGAAGGAACTGAGTCTCCTAGAAAGACACAGAGGTAAAGTTTAAATCTGGAAATTCTGACTTGAGAATTTTTATCTTAACCTCTTTAGTAATCACGCTTTAATGAGGCACCCAGAACTAATTCATTTGATCATTCTACATTCAATGAGTACTTATTATGTGTCAGTTCCTGCTTTAAGTACCAGAACAATGGTAACAAATACAGAAACTTTTCTGCTGTCATGTAGATAATATTCTAATCAGAGGAGTCATGCAATAAACACACAAACAAAATAATAAGTGATAAAGTAAAACCAAAATATACTGATGACTAGAAGATTTCTTTAAATTTGTTGTTAGAAAGGTACTCTTTATGAAGGAATGGATAAGAAGGAGCCAGCTAAGTGAAGAATTAGGTGGAAGAGTGTTTTAGATACAGGGAATAGTAAATGCAAACATGGGATGAGCACATACATGCATTTGTAGAAGCAGAAAGAAGACAGGGGTAGCTCAAGTGTGGTGAGCAAAGGAGAGTGGTAGGAGAGTAGACTGAGGAGGTAGGCAGGGGCGGGTCACATGGAGTGCAGATTCTCAGTACAGAGACCTGTGGGCATGGGTGGGTGTTCAAGCAGCAGTAGCTATCTGGTTTATGGTATGGAAAGATCATTCTGCTACTGTAGAGAGAAGGATTGTAGAGACAAGAATGCAAACAGGGAGTAAGAAAACACATGAGATTCAGAGTGAATTTGGCTATGTTTTAGAAGTTTAGTGACTCACCCAAGGAACCATAAGTGATGGATCTGGGCTCTAGACTAAAAGTTCTCACTCCTCCATCTGCACCCTTAGAGGTACAGATAGTAAAATTCTCTGAAGTAAACAGGAAAGAATTAGGTCATTTCCTTTATCAACAGGTGCCATTTAAAAATGATATAACTAAAAGAATCAGAGAAATGATCTCTAGAATATTTCTCAAATGGCAGAATCCTGGGAATGTCCTGGAAACATAAGGAAAGTAAGAGGGGAGGAGCCAGAGATATGGATAGTTCTGAGTTATTCCTAGACAGTGAGAGAATGAAAAAGGCAAAGACTTCAGGGACCATTTGCAGGATCATAGATATAAAAATGATTTTTGCTGTGTGTCGCGTATATTTACCTTATTACATTTTCAGATCAGGAAACACAGAGCTCTGAGAGGTTAACTGACCAGCCTAAGACTGCATAGCTAATAAGAGGACAAGTCAATATTCAAACTAAGATTTCTCTTCTACCAAACCACCTAAAGCAGGCAGACCTTTGTTTTTTCATGGGTGCTATAGATATTTGTCAACTACTTTAGGACCGTAACTTTAGATCCATCCTTTAGATGCCTCCACAGTGTGTCTAGGGAGCCATGTTTGTAATTTTTCACCTATTTAGATATTTGCTGCCTACCTTATTCTAGGAATGCCTGTAGGCACTGGGTATTAAAAGTTAATCAAAATAGGCACAGTCCCTGGGCTTACAAGCTAATTTGAGAAACAAGTAAACATATAGCCAGAAACTCTGATTAGTATTGGAAAGAAGAGATATGGTGGTATCACTGAAAAAGTATAATTGGAGGGCCTAATTTAGACTAGAGCTTAGGGAAACTACTTGGAGAAAGTTAAATATAATTTGGGACCTGGATTAGTAATTAGCTATATCAGGAATAGAAGAAAGAAGAGTAGGAATATAAACTTAGCAGCATATGTGAAAATCCCAAGGTTTATGGTAAAAAGGGTCTGGCTGGTATGGGAAGAGCAGTGTGGCTGGATAATAGTGAACAAGATGGTAAGTTGCATGAAAAATGACCTGGGCTCTCTGACCACAGGCCACTGAACCTTGGAATCAGCTGATTCAAACTGAGTCAGCCAGGATGTGTAAACCCTTTTTAAGAGGAACAGAAACTAAGATATCTGCACAGAGAACATAGGAACAAAGTTAGACAAAAGAGTAGTCAAGAGGTGTAGGGGTGTGGCATTCCAGAATGACAGAGTAGCTGACCCCTGACTTTCCAGTGTAATTTCATTCTCTTGAGTCTTTCCCTCCATAAAGAGACGGAATGACTTAGTGCTCAAGAGTGCAGGCTCTTGGGGTAATACAGACCTGGGCATCGATCCTGCCTCTGTCATCTATTAGCTGTGGGTAAATTACAAAACATGGCAATGATTATATTGACAATAGCAAGAAGAAGAGTTAAGTATTGACTGTTAACATCTTGCCAGGAACTGTGCTAAAAAGCGCTTTACTTCCCTTATCTCATTGTATTTTCACTGTCTTATAAGATGAACTCTCTATTTTTCAGACATGAAGTACAAAGAGGTGAAGTGATTTGTCCCAAATGAGGCAGCTGGTAAGTAGAAAAGCCCAGAGTAGAACCCTGGCTTATTTGATTCAGTACTTACCCAATTGATCTCAAACAGTCTTAGATGTTACTGAGCAGTGAAGTCCTGCAGCCTGTACACTTTCCCTTTGGACGATGGCAAATTCACATCACAGTCCCATCTAGAGACTCTGCCTTCTCCCCTTATGGATGAAATGTAGGCAGCTGTTCAGTAGATTTCTGGAGTCACAATAAATGGAATCGAGAGGGCTGGAGGTGGCTCATCCTGGGAATATTTACTAGATTTGGAGGTCCCAGTGTTCTCATTAGCGGGATCAGAAACTAATTGTTTCTGAATCCCTAAAGAGAGGTGGGGAGAGCACTGTTTTCAAATGCATTTCCTGTTCTGCTGCTGACTCTCAGAGAGCACTCCCATTGTCTGTCAGCTCTGGAGGCACTGCTCTGAGCTTGCCCCTGTTGCCCTGTTCGCTTCCATATGCGGCTCAAAAGGAAGGACCTGGGTAACAGTTGAAGACAGTGGAAATGAGGCATCTCTTTCCTTATCTGAACTTGATATTGTCTTAGTCTAAGACTCTTAGCCAATATTCTAACCCTTCTGTGAGTTCTTATCCTCATCAAGTGCAACTACAGTGTCTCTTGTAGAATGGAAATTCTGGAGTTCATTGTAGCCCAATCCATCTGCTTTGTGTGATACATTTTGCTCACCATTTTATCTGTGTACTTGGTTCATTCATTTTCACTGTGTTCCGTTATGTAAATGTGCCACAGTTTTTAACCCACTATCATGTAGGTGGGCATTAACATTTTCCCAGTTTGGGGCAATTATGAATAAGGCTGCTGTGGATATTCCTGTAAATATCTTATATAGAATTTTTACAGAATATTACAGAAGTATATGTGCAGTTCTTTGGAGTACATACCTAGGAATGAAAATGCTGGGTCATGGGGAATACATCAACAGATACTATCCAGTGGCACTCCAGAGGGTTTGGACCAATAAGTAGACCCTCTTTTCTGCAGTTTCAGTTACCTAAGGTCAATCATGGTCCGAAAATATAAAATGGAAAATTACAGAATTAAACAGTTCATAAGTTTTAAATTGCATGCCATTCTGAGTAGTGTGATGAAATCGTGCACCGTCCCGCTCAGTCCCACCTGGGATGTGAAGCATCTCTTTGTCTATGTGTCCGCACTGTGTATACTACCTGCCCCGTTAGTCACAGTAGCTGTGTTGATTATCAGATCTACTGTCATGGTATTGCAGTGCTTGTGTTCAAGTAACCCTAACTTTACTTGTCCAAAGCTCAAGAATAGTGATGCTGGCCATTTGGATATGCCAAAGAGAAGCCATTAGTGCTTCCTTTAAGTGAAAAATGAAAGTTCTAGATTTAATAAGGGAAGAAAAAATCATATGCTGAGGTTGCTAAGGTCTGCAGTAAGAATGAATCTTCTATCCATGAAATTGCAAAGAAGGAAAAGTAATTCATGCTAGTTTTGCTGTTGCACCTCAAACTGAAAAAGTTATGGCCACAGCATGTGATAAGTGCTTAGTTAGGATGGAAAGGCATTAACTTTATGGCTGGGAAACATGAACAGAAAACCTGTTCTGACGGTGGGCAGTATGTTGCGCCAGAAAGCATTGAACCTATACAAAGACTTAATTCAGCAAGGGATCCCCTGAAACAAGTGACACCACGCCATTTACAGCAAGTAAGGGATGGTTGTGCAGATTCAGGAATAGGTTTGCATTTTGTTATCTCACATCATCACAAGAAGGGTGAGTATAGTACAATAAGGTATTTAGAAGGAGACACCACATTCACACAACTTCTATTACCGTATATTGTTAGAACTTTTCTATTTTATACTGTTGTTAATCTCTTACTGTGCCTAATTTATAAATTAAACCTTATCATAGGTATGTATAGGAAAAAACATAGTATGTATAGGGTTTGGTACTATCTGAGATTTAAGATATCCATTGGGGGGTCTTGGAACTTACCCCTGCAGATAAGGGAGGCTTCTGTACTACCACTTGTAGCATCAGAGGGTTTTAGTTGATCCACATCCTCAGCAGTCTTAGATTGTTAGTCTTTTAAATTTTAGCCATGTTGGTAGTGGGTGTGTAGTATCTCATGGTGGTTTTACTTTCTTTGATATTAACGGAATTTGAACACCTTTTAGTTTGTTTTATTGTTCATTTGGATATTTTGTTGTGTGAAGTAGTTATTCAGATATTTTGCATATTTTTCCTATTACATTTTTGTTCCTTTTTCTTATTAATTTGAAGAATCTTATATACTTGGGATTTTATTTCTTTGTTGGAGATGGATGGATGGATAGATATGCAGATAGAATATTCTATTCTGTGAGTTGCCTTTTCACTGTATATATGATATAAATGACATATTTTGATGAACAGATTGTAAATTTAATGTGGTCCAATTTGTCTGTTTGTTTCTGTATGATTAGTACTTTTCGTGTTTG